CTCCTTTGTGAATAGAGAGGTGTCACATGTCCCATAGCTCCAATGAATTCCCAGCCAAAGGAAAACATGGAAGAAGGGGCCTTGACAAGTGCCATCCACTGTGCACCGAGTGATGGCATACCACGTGGTAATTTTATATACATGCAATCTCCTTCTATCCTTAGCCCAACAATGCATGTCAGATGCTAATAATGTTACATCATAAATACGTTCTCAAATATATTATTAAAAATAAGACAGCAATAAAACTTATATACCATTTAATAGCAACTCATGATAATTTCATAACTATTAATATATTTAAATATTGATCATAATTACTAGCAACAAATCTTAATAAAATCAGGTAACATACCAAAACATTTATTTTACAAAAATCATAATATTATATTTCAGTAATATAATAATTAGTAAATCCACAATATAATCATACACAATTCACATGTACAAGAAAGAATTTTCAGAGTTACCTGGTACTCTTTAGCTTACAAATATTCACACAAAGATTACTCCAAAATTCTCAAGAGTCTACAAAATTGCACATAAATATTTATTAATATAAACTCAAAACTACTCCAAAACTACTCTAAAATTTTAAGACTATTCTCTAAACCAAAATTACATAAATATATTAACTCTCCCAAATCTAGCCATTTATAATAGATATAATATTATTTTGAAAAATATAATTTACATATAAGGCTATTTAAAGTTAACAACTTAAGTAAATATATTTTTGTTACCCAAAATATGAATATTTTATATTAGAATTCTGAATTATTTATTATAGTCTCCTTTAAAATTTTTCCTCAAACCAAACAACTTCTTTTTAAATTATAAACAAACTGTAGTTTTATCTAATTTTACAAAGTTCTCAATTTATAATTTTTCAAGCTTCCAAAAATTATTTCAAAAAAATATATATCTTTAACTTATTCAATATTTAAACCGATTAAAACCTCAATAATATATTAAATAACTGAAATAAATTATTTAACTTGAATTTAATCGGTAAAAATATTCTATATCTTCGAATAAAATTTTTTGCAACTAACCTTAATTTAAAATTCTCAAAACAGTCATTGAGTAAATATAAACCGATTAAAATTTCTTAATAATGTATCTTTAAATTTATACGGTCATATATTGTCAAAACTTTATATTTACACCATACCCAAACGGTAAAATTTTCTCTAAACATGATAATGAAACTAATAATACAAAGATCTAAATATATAGAAAATATTCATAAAGGAAATTTGATAGAAAGAAGTAGTTTTGTGTACCTAAATTATCCCCAAAACTGTCAAGTACTCCACAACTCGGCTCTCTCTCTCTTTTTCTCTGCTTCTCACTCTCTTCTCTCTTCTTTTTCTCTCTCTTCCTCTTTCGTCTCCTCCCTCGACTTGAAAATTATCTGGGGTGAAGGTATTTAATAACCTCATGTTCAAATTTTTCCACCGCCCCTTACCCATTTTTCTACGTCCATCTGCTCCTTCCCCATTTTTTCCTTCTTCGGCAATTAATACCTCCCCCCTATTTTCTTTGTTCCATTAAATGATGCCCAGCTTTTCCACCGAATTCGGTGGAAAGATGGGTAGTTTTTTTTTAAATAATATAATATTATTTTAATTAATTGATTTTGATTTTTTTATTATATATATTTTTTAACAGTACATTACAATTGGAAGCAAAAGGGAGTAAGAAGAAAGTTTAAGGACACAAGGTAGTAAACTTTACCCTACTCTTATGTGCTTAGTATTTGCTTGCATGTATAACATGTTCTGTGTTTATATGGTTTTATGAACTCATGCATTGTAATTGTGAATATATTTGAAATGTGTCATAGGCCTACGTGTTTTATGGTTAATTCGTGATGATTTCCAAATATGTCACTATGTTATAGAAATATCAAGTTGCAAGCATGTTATGAAGCTTGCCATGTATGTTTGGGTAGTTATTGTTTGCTACTGAAATTCTCCTGAATCTCACCCTCCCTTAACCAACCATAATAGGTCAAATGATAAAGAGAAAACATACATGAAGAAGGGCAGGAAGATGGAGGCAAAGAAATTGGAGAATTTACATGCTTTTCAATGTAATGATTGACGTCGCTAGTAATGTAATTAATTGTGCATATGTCAAGCATGAAATGTAAGGTAATGTTTGATGTATAATGTAATGGCATGCAACTTAAAGTATATGAATGAATGAAAATTCATAAGGCTAATTATTGCATATTCGAATGAAGGGAGAATTAAAGTAAGAATTGTTTAATGGATAAAACGTAGGTCCTGAAGCAGTCTGTTTTCAACTCCAGTTTAACCTATCAAATAAATGAGTTAAGGCATGAAATTTGACATGATTAAAGTACACATCCTGAGCTTTAAAACAAGTGTTAGATCACTTAAAACGGATGTGTGTTCTAAGAGTTATAATTGCTCAAAATTAGATTGAAAATCTGAAATTTAATCAGTAAACAGTAACCCGAGAATCAATCACAAATTTTCAATCTACGGGTTTGTTTCATGAATTGCTTAAATCATAACGCTTCCAAATACGTACTCTGAGGGGTTAAAAGTAGGATATTTCATGAAGGATACTTATTTGCATATAATAAATGCTCACTTGCACATGACAAATACCTATTTGCATATGAGTTCTTGTGTTATTTTGTTATATGTAAGCTAATTACATGTACAAGTGAGCAATTGTTAGATACAAATTAGTCATATGCAATTAGCATTCATCATATACAAGTGAAAATCCGTTATATACAATCTGTCATATGCAATTAATCTTTGTTAAGGCAACGTGATCTTTTTCCTGTCACACTCACTGATATTTAAAAGCCCCACACCTTTACATTTATTCCAAACCCTATTTCTCAGTTAATTTGTCAAATGGGAATTTTAACCAAGTTTGGCATCTAGTACCTCAATTTTGAATCAATGCTTATAGTTATTTTGTTGAAATTGAGCCCTTATAATTTGATCCATTAATTCTCCAGCGTAAAACCCATTAATTTTAATTTATAGGATTTTATGGATTTTTTTAAAAAAATACTCATTTCATTTAACACCATTTTATTATTCGTGCATAATCATCATTAAAAAGCAAGTATAACCGGGGATTTAGTTGAGTGTTCTAGAGTTTCAATATACCAAGTCCTTAGTCAAGATTAAAGTCTTCATACTTTTCACTTATGTAATTGGTCAACTTTAGCTGAATTCATGGCGTTTGTTGTTTGACTGTACTTAAAAAAAAAAAAAAATACAAGTCTATGTGAGACTTACATTTCTGACCACTTTACTATTTATGACAATCCGTACTTTTGCTGTATAAACAATTAGAAATAAAGAACTTTTTTAGGTTTTTAATAAGAAGATATTTGTACTCATAAGAAAATAACTACTTTAATAATATCAAGAAAAATTTCTAAATAAGGGTATAATTAGAATAATATCATGATCTGTACAAATAAGGAATGGTCTCGTTTGCCTTAACTCATCGTCTTTTCCATAATCTGTACAAATAATTGCTATCCATTTTATGTGTGCAAACTCTGGTTAATTTAAAAGGCGTTTCTTTGTATCACCTGAGTTTGAAAAGCGTTCTTCGTTTAAGGGCTTTTCTTTTATAAAATAATTTTTTTCTTCTTTTATAAAAATGAGGGGTTTTTCATTTGAGGGCTTCACGTACTATCATTTTGTTCTGTTTATAACTTTTTTTCTTTTGGAAAAAAAAATGAAGTTTGACTGAACAACCTTTTCATAAGAAAGATCTACGCTGGTTGGACCATGGTAGTGGGGGTTTTACCTTGTTTGACGTATAACATATTTAGTTAATGGATTAAGAACTAAGAAGTGAACTACGAAACTTTTCTTATTAGATTAGCAGACATAAAATCGCCTATATTAATAAAACTGGCCCCACCAAACTTTGTTTCACTTTCTTTAGTAGTGGGCCTTATGGTTTCAAGATTGATCTAAAGCAAGTTAAAAGAAACTACGATTAAAATCATATAAAATTATGAAGATTTGTTAAAAAAAATACAGGGATTCAATCAAAATTCAAGTTGAAGTATATAAAAATTTCGGAAAAGATATAAGGTCAAAATCTAATTATCAACTTAGGTGTCCTGTTGATAACCGTATGGTGTGAAAAATGAAATAGAAAAATAAATAGCATAAAAAAAATAGTCTTTTTAGATAAAAACTGTTATTTATGGGTTGGCATGAAAAAATAATTAAAAGGCACATAGTTCTATTATTGAAAAATTATAATAAGAGTTAATAAATTTTGTTCTTTTATTAATAAGGCTACAAGTTTCATAAGGTCATGATTAGAGGTGAATTTGCTATAATAAGATTGTGATTTTTAAAAATTTATAATATTATTATAGCAAATTTACAACAAATGTGTTGAATCTTAAAATTTCACAAGCATAAGGAGATTTTTTTTTGGTTCTGTCAAATAAGAAACTCCATTGATGATTGTTTTATTAAAATTTATAAATTTATTATAGCTAAATCATAACAAATTTCATTTAAGATATACAACTTAGTTGCATTTGAAGAGGAATCTTTATTTTTGGAAACTGAACAATAATGGGAGAATGGCATTTAGAATGAATTAATGATAATTAGGTGTTTGAAATTTTTTTCTGAAAAATTTGTTGTAAATGTCAATTCAGACAATTTACAAATAGGAATTGTAAATTGAGAGTTAAATTTAAAACTTAAATGCCTTATTTGTAATTAAGACTTCTGAATTTACAAAATTATGTTTTGATCAATGTTTGCATTTAATGTTTTTGAAACTTTTGTTGATAACACGATTATCGTTAATTCAATCATTTGGGACCTCATTGCCATTCTCCCAACAATTTATTTTTTTTGCTGTTCTGGACCAAAATAATTGACTTTCTCAATTGATTTTGATCCAATCATTTTCTTCTAGGTGCTCTCCAATCATATATAATTAAATATTGTATATGATCAAGGAAACCCCAACTTGAGAGAGGTATCAAAATCATTAAACTGTTGAGGAATATTAGAGGATGAGCTGGACAAATTCACTGAGTCAAATGATTGCCCTTGTTCATGTGTAACCTGAAAACACAGCCATTCTTATCATCTAACTCATTTCAATTAATCCTATCATTTGCAGTGATCTGGAAAACATAGCTATATGTCACCTGTTTCAATCTCTTGTTCTTTTCCATCAGTTTTTTTCCCTGAATCATATGTTGAAACTTGAGGGGGAGATTAAGGTAATAAATAGCATATATTGCCATACTAACAACAACACATAATTGGGATAACACCACACACAAAATTTCTTTACCTAATGAAAATGAAAATTAGGTAGTGGGGATTGAACTGTTATATTAAACCTTCTAAGATGAGGGACGTTATTGGCATGCAAGACATCTTTTCTAAGCCTTTCAATATACATATATATAATGTACTAATTAGATATTATATATATATATTAATTAATGAGACTTCTGAATCATGTATATTTTAGAAGAAAGATTCAGGTCAATGTCCCCTACATTCATAGTAAATGCAAATTCTAAAAAGTTGTGGGGGTCAAGCAGCAGACTTAACTGCAGTGTTTATGTTAAGCACATACAAATTAATTTATGATCATACTTTTCTAGTAAATAAAAACACAACAGGAATCACTAATTGATGGTAGAATGAAGAGATCCTCTTACTGCCAAACCAAGCAACTTGCTTAAAAATATGAACGTTCACACTCCAAGTGTGATGAATTCTGGTTTAAGAATCATGAAAAGTAAGCTTGATTGCTTCCTCTTATTTTCTCTGTAAATTAATTTAGTGTCTTTAGTTTTAATTGAACCACTGTTTGTCACTCTAATTTACCCAATCGATCAACTTAGATCTTTAATTTAGTATCAATTAAAGATTTTGTTTCTCAATTAATTAAATTAAAGCAATTAGAAAAGTATGCACAGATCAATGATTCAAATGAGTTGACATACCTTTCTCTTGAATTCGAAGGCCTCATTTACAATTGCTTTATCCTGAAACACACAAGAAACTATATTCTTATAAGATGGAACTACACAAAATGATTTAATACACTAGTAATTTGACTGTCAGGATTATTCATGCAGCAGAGGAACCCAAATCACCTCAACATTCCTAGAGTGCGAGTTATGCTGTCCAAATCAAAGTTGATGGTCTAGATATTTTTTTTTTAAAAAAAGTTCAACTATTTTAGTTTAAGTCCTCCCATTTAATGGATTCTAGAAGATAAAATTCTTGCAAACAAGAGAAAACAAATTATCAAAATTTGTCTTAGATAAGGGCAAAAATTGTTCAAAAATTCATTTTCATAGATTCAAAGCCCAATTCCATAGTCCCGCGGTGGGATCAGGTTTCACCAATTTCAATGGAATCAAAGCTTCCTTTAAAATCTCTGTTTCTGCATAACAAACATGTGTGCACGCAGAATTTTTTTTTCCAACTCCTTTTTCCTACCCCTAGTTAATTCCTGCATATTAATCGAGGTACAAGGGAAACAGATTGACCTTTTCCTTTGAAACACGCATCATACCCCTTTCAAGCAGTTCCTCAAGTTTTTGTAATTCTTGAACTGTGGAATCTTGCAACGCTTCCCCATTCAACTGCCTGTTTAAGTAGAAGAACCCTGATTCTTTAATACAATATAGTAGCTATATATATGGTACATACACAGTACTCATCGTGCAGTATAAGCATATATACCTCAGTTCATGGGTCTTTATTGCTATTTCACGGCTCAGCTCTTTGAAGTTTTCACATCCAATCCGTAACAAAAATTTTCCGGGGCAAACCCATCGACGATTTCACTTCAGGCTAAGCAACGTCTGTGAAATATTACATTCCGTGATAAAAGAATGAGGGGTTGGATCTTCAAGTTTTAAAGAGATTTAAGTCTTGATTAACGGGCTACTTGGCATGCAATCCATAACATAACAAAGAAAAACAGATATTTCTTCCAATATTATATATCTCGTCACTTCATCCAATTTACTGGTTTTTACAAGCTTCTATATTTTCTTTAATATTCAGAATTAGAGACAGCAACTTAAAATTGAAAGATTTAGGCATCAGAGAATGCTCAAATGCATTGTTTCATCACCCGGTTGATGTAAGAAAGTTGGTACTTCTATAGGGTATAGGTTCAGAGTCATGCAGAATAATTACGCAATACTCTAAACTAAGCACAAAGAATTATGCACTTATTATAACTAACAATAACATTACAACGAACATAAGGTGAAAACTAGTAATAACATTAAAGGCTATATGTTTGATAGAGGAGATAAGTATTACAATAGGCGCATGTAACATCATTTTCACTTCCATGCCAAATAGGCTTATGATAATTTTTAGTGACGTATTTGTTTTTGGTAAAATATCCATTTTCGTTGTTTTAACTGATGTGACACCAAATCATCATTTGCGAAAAATTGCAGGAAAAAAATTAAATACTTACCTGCAAATCAATACAAGGTTGATCTGATGTTTGCATGTCTAAATGGATACCATGTCTTTCAACTATCTTCTGCATACTTGAGATGGGAACAAAAAATCTCAGAATTCCTTTGGTTGATTATTAACTCATTTTTGTTTAAATGAAACATATTTCTCATCGAATGATCTTTCTGCAGAATCATATGGCTTTCTGCACTCATTTTTACGCTAATATGTTTTTGTTTATATATGTATGAATATCATTTGAAGACATGTTTATGTACATTTAAAGACATGTTTATGCACTCAACAATTCAAACATTGCGTCTATTTGGTGATCTCGTTATGTGTTCTCTTTTATGTTAAAATACCTTTCGGCCTTTTTCTTTCAGCTGAGTTTTTCAATCTTTTAACAACAATAAATGATGATTTAATTTAAAAAATTTTACGCCCAATGATTTATTGTGAGAAGATTTTCCACTTTTCAAAATGCTTATGTACTTTGAGATGCTTTGTTTGATCATGTTGGATTTGATGGAGAGAGAAATGTTAATAACAACTTTATTACCACTATAATTTTATCAACATCTAAACCTCCTCATTAAATTCCTTCAGTAATTGTTGAAACTAACGCCCTTTAAGTTAAATATGCTTTGAGCTACTCTAAACTCATCTTTAGTACTAGTTCTAATCACCACATTCTGTTCCTTACTCGTACAAGTCACTAGATTTTCTCTAACAAAGGTAAAATAGCCATAGTTAGATCTAGTAATTTTTTTGAAGATCTTTCTTACTCTATATCTGTGAATGCTTCTATATATTCATACGTTCTCCTCCTTTGAAGAGGAGGCCTCTTCTTGGAGACTCTTTCAAGTATCTTAGGATTTTATAAAGTACTGCTTCCGAGTGACCTTGTCTAGATTGATGCATATGCTGGCTAGCAAAACTTATTTATCAAAAGCTAGCATGCATGTGACAAATAGATCAGTTTTCCAACCAATCTCTGACACCATTCCTTATTAACAACTTTCATCTTCACCTCCCTTTCTAGCCTTTATGAGAATGTCACTTGGTTTGCAATCAAGCATTCCAGTTTTCTTCAACAGTTCTGATAGGTGCGTGTCTGTGTGTGTTTACTCTAAAATACATTGATTCCTCTCTTAGACTTAAACTCAATAGCCTTTACTTCTACTAGTTGGTTCATTTCTAATGTATTATCTCCTCTCAACACAATATCATCCATGTGTACATATCGAGAATATAGGATCTTGTTCCCATTTTTATGCTCAAAAAAAGATAGTGTGATATGGATGTCCCCTCTTGTAGCCTTCCCTTTTCAAAACTTTTGTAAACATCTCAAACCAAGCCCTGGGAGAATGTTTCAACCCATTCAAAGACTTGTAATGTCATGTGAACATCGATCAATTCTGAATTAGAAAAGTAATAGTTAAGTTGAAGTGGCCGGCCAGTGATAATTAGTAGCTAAAGATAGAAGAACTACGATTGTATTTAATTTAGCCACAGGCGCAAAAATTTTTGCACAATCAACTCCATGTCCAAGGAAAATCATTGGCCATTAAACTAGTTCGGTACCTTCTAATTTTCACATCAACATGAAATGTCACAATAAAAACCCATTTGCAGTAAACTGGCTTCTTACCTATTGGAAGTTATATAACTTCTCCATTCCCATTCTTTTCTAAGGCTTTCATTTCCTCTCTAACTCCCTCTTTCCATTTTGTTGCCTCTAGGGTCTCCTGAATATTATTTGGTATCTTGATCTTATCAAGGCTGCTAGTGATAAATGCCAAATACCTTGACAACAAAGAATCACTTGAAACAAATTGTTCAAAAGGATGGGCAATGAAAGAACAAAGCTTCTTGCTGCTAATTAAGAGAAATAGGTGCATCAAAATTATTGAATTCATTAATACTTTGAATGACACTATAAGAAATGTGATCATAGAGCTTATACCCTTTTTCTGGTTAGTGACCAATTGGAGGGAAGACACACTGAAGACTAAGTTCAGCCTACTAAGATGATCAGCCTGACCGCATATGACTCCCCTCAGGGTTGTTTCCTTCTTACTAGCATTGCCCCCAGTGAATTTAAGAGATTCAACTCTAGATAATAGATCTCTAATATAATGGGAGCGTTTGAAAATTTCATTTTGTTGTGTGTTTTGGATAGTACAAGGTAAAGGAGATGTATACACTAGAGAGAGAATCTGGAATCAATTCTAGTGTGTGAGATCCTGATATAGCAACAATGCCAATGGACCCGCTATTCATTCCCTAAAAATTTTGGACAAAAATATTTACAATCATAAAGCGTTGACATGAACTACATTACGATTACTATGCTAATTCTAGGATGTGAAAACAACAAAAGTTGAAGTAGAGTTAAATACAAAAATAATCTTTCCTGACATGGATTTCTGGGACTTGTCTTTCCATAGTTATGCAACAGGCTCTAGGGTTGCAAAAGGGGAGTTGAGCCATAAAAGGTTGATAGTGAGCGTAGTGGACTCCGTAACACGATCTTAGCCAATCAATTTAAATAGGGGCCACTTATCAGGCTTAGGGATGAGAAAAGGCTAGCCCCGTAATAAGACTAAAGTCTGCGATTAGATCTAATGTTAATTATATGTATGTTTTCTTGCTTCCCAAATAAACAAGTATCATCCAAATCCCTCACATATCACCAGTTAGGAAGGTACTCCCTCCATCTCTTACTATAAGGCATAATTAACTAATTCACAGATATTGAGAAATTAGTTGACTTCTAAAAATATATTCCTTCTTTCCAATTTTGTCTTCGATGATCATCATTTTCCTTTATTAATTGCAGGTGTGCCAACTCATTTTATTTATTGCCCAGGGGCATTATTGGGAGAAATTATCTAATTAATTTGTCCTAGAACTTTGTGAATTACTCCTCTGGTCCTATTTATAGGGTAGAAAGAGAAAATATTTTTTAGTCATCTTTATAGGGTACTAAGAGAAATTTTTTGTATGAATGTATAATTTTATCCTTCATTTATTATTGTGTTAACTTTGTTTATATGAGTATAATGTATACAAAATAGGGATAAAGTTGAAAAGTTGAATTTTAAATAAGAGAAACATGTTGGAAGTGACTTATAGATTGGACCAAAGGAGTAACTCATACAAAGGGACATCACAGCCTTAAAAATCATGTCATATAAGTAGGGACAGAGGAAGTAGTTTGGAAGCCCCCCCCCCCCAAAAGAGGGAATTGGAGAATTGACAGATAAGATGAGACGGATGCATATAAATAACTATGTGTCATATTACATGAATTTTATAGATCAAAATCAAACAAGTGAGAAACAATTAGATGTGTACTTGCTAATTTAAGGGTGATTCTTTCATTGGGTGATCCCTGAGAGACACAAACATGTAGGAATAGATAAAAGACGAAAGGTTCCTCTATATCGTCATTTTGAGATGAAACATGAAGTGTTGATAGTAATTGTAAGATGACTAATCGCTTAATTAAAGCAAAAGAAGCCGCCCTTTCATGTGCAACTAAGGAAAAAAGGATTAAAATAATGGAAGAGATGGAATCAGTGAATACAAACCCAGTTTAGAAATTCGTTGATCTTTTATTTGGTCAACAAACCATAGGGAACAAGTGAATCCTCAAGACAAAAACGAGGGTGTGGTTCTATTGAGAGATATAATATTGGTTTAGTTGACAAGTAGTATACATCAAAAGAAGGCATCGAGTATCAGAATATCTTCTCGATCGCCTATGATGACGAAATTCAACTATCAATTAGTCTTATTTTAATTTATGATAGTTGTGAGTTTAAACTTGAAGGCACATCGTATTGATGTGAAGACTAGCTAGTTAATGGCTTTTATCTAAAAAGGTAGAAAGCCACAAAGTTTGTAGGCTCCCTAAGGTATTTGATATAGGCAATGGCATGTCTAAGACTGATTTCTTCTTTATTTTAGGTGTTATGAGTCGTTTTCAGTTCGATATATCATTGACAAAATAAAGCATTTTCAAATGGCCAATAGGATTATTGAGATACATAAGGTGTTTTGCAAATTATTTATACATTATGCTAATCAATGCAATTAATTAGCAGGATATTCAGATGCTAATTGGGCTGTGAATCCATGGGCAAAGCTATAAGTCCTTGGATAATAGATTTTGATACATTATGGATGAAGGACCCTATAAGTACGATGGTAAGTTGACGCAAACAAGTAACTATTTGAGCCTTTTTAGTCTAAATAATTCTTTTGGCCAATTTTAGTCTAAATAATTAAAGACAACTATTTATTATTGTTGATGCTTACTAATTCTCTATATATTATGAAAAAGCTTTGAAATTGAAAGAGAAAGAGTAACGTCCTGTTCGATATTTTCTGGCTCGTCATACTTTATCTTTGTACATTTGTCCAGTAATAATCGTTTTCCGATGCATTCTGAAATAGGATATATATATATTCACCCAAAAAAAAAAAAAAGATACATAGATAATACATAAAAGTGTTAGTCTTACTATCTATCACTACAAGCCATAATGATATTCTAGGTAGAATTTTAAAATATTAATAATTATTCATAAACAACTTGTCTATCAAATGTGTAAATATTCCAAAATTTTTGTAGCTGAAAAAGGTTTTGAAATCACATTGTAAACAAATTACAATATTTCACTTTTTTTTCCATTTTGTATTTCTTGCAGGATATAATGAATTTGTAATTAACAACAATTTGAAGTAATGAAAAGTGATTCAAAGTGAGTCATATCAAAACTTTCTGAATAAGTAGCTCGGATTTATATATCGGCCATATAATTTGAGATAGATTTTAAGCATATAATTAGAAGGAGAAATTAAACAATTTTTTTTATTAAATTACACATCTAACTATTTTTATAATTTTATCTCTAGTGTATATATAGTGAAAAGGGCCATACCTCAAACATTCAAGAAATATCCTTGCAAGTGATTGAAACTTGAAAGGCTAACCAACTAAAATTAACTGCCTATCAACCGAATTTGAAGTTTATCATAATTAATTTCTTCCTTTTCCCTCCCTGTTTTTGCTCTTTTATACTATACTATGTTTCTTCTTTAAAGGTACAATAGTACTCAGGAATTTATTACCCAATTAGGAATTGTTTAAATTGAAATCAAGATTTTGTACAGGATTTGACTGATCAAGATGAAGAAGAATGGATCTATAGAGATAGAAATATAATTGAAATCTACATACATATATAAGGAAAGCTACGCACGCACACATGATAATGAAGGGCTATATATATACAGGTAAAGAGAAGAAAGAGACCTTGAGCTAGCATAGTCGTAGAGCTTTCCAGTGGAAGAAAAGACAATGAGACCAATCTCAGCATCACAGAGCGTAGCAAGTTCCCTTGTTTTCTTGAAAAGCCCTCTTCTTCTCTTTGAGAATGTCACTTGCCTTGCTGATATGTTATCGATCTTCTTTATCTCTATCTTCTTTCTTGTCATCTCCCCTTTAATTTCTAAATTAACACAAACCCAACACATCAAAAATCAATTCATCAGTAAAAATTAATTTCTGGGCTTGCATAGTTTTACACAGAAGAAAAATACTAACTCAAAAAAAAAAAAAAAAAAAAAGAATCAGTAAGCTGCAGATAGCTAGTTGATGTACTAAGGAAGATGCAGATCAAAAGTGAAAAGGAAGAAAACAAAGGAAATTTTGTTCATTAAAGAAAAGAATCGAGTGATGAAGAGAGATTAGGGTTTTCCTGGGTTTGGCTGTTGACTGTACAGAAAACAGAAAAAACCAGAACTTCGACAAATTAATTTGATGAAAGTGAAAGGAAGGAACCGTGTAATGGACAAAAAATCAGTTAACATAATTACTGTAGGTTGGAATTGGAGATCAAACTTGAAGGAGAGATCAGAAAATAATCAGATAATTATAATATCCCTTCTCCTCCCTTACCTTTTCCCGATCTCTTATTTTCTGAGCCCGAGTGATGTTAGAACCTAAAATTCTGAACAAAATCGCCCAGTAGAAGAAGGGAATGAGATAGAAATAAGCAGATTAGATGGGGAGTGACTGACTTCAGAATTTCCGATTATGGGCCGGCGATAAAGCTGGGGTTTTGTCTGCAGTGTTGGTTTTTGCTCCTTTTTTTCGGCCTCAAAGAAAGGTTAAATGGGTAAGCCATCCCAGGCTGTCTTAAAATTAATTTTGAAGTTTAATTTGCTTCACAGTACAAAGAGACATGTCTGATGGCTCCCTCAGACAGTGATAGCTCTCACCCTCGTACTCCTCGAATCTCCAACATCTTTACTGTTTTACTTTGGTTTTTTAATCTCGTAAATTACAAGTTTGGACTAGTTTGTTTATATTTATTCCTTCGATCTTCTGATTTTCTCATTGCTTTTTCTTATTCCCTGTTGTTTTTAAATGCCACTTTGGCTTTCACAGCCACCCAAGTAAATATATTTCAGTTTGGCCCAAAAAAAAAAAGTAAATATATTTCATAATGAATAATTATGTTAAATTTCTTAGTTTAATAAAGTAAATCGTGAGAATATTTAAACTTTACAGAGTTTGAAAAATACATAACATTATTGTGGCATATGGATCATTGATTCTTTACCATAAATGCATATCTTGTGTAGTTGTATTAATATTTATATTATCGAAAGTCATTAGACTCGGATATATTATTTATATGTACTTTTAATTTTATTATTGATATTCTGTGAAGCTAAATGGCTAATAACTTATAAAGAACATTTCAACGCATTATCTAATTAATTAAAGGGTGTCGAACATGATTTTAACACAATCTGTTCTTCTAAAATTATTTTTCATGAAACTACATCTATCTAATTGAAAGAAAATACAAAATAAGTAAAATAGACAAGTCTCTTTCTTTTGATTGGACTTAATACCGCAAGTAAATTTTGAGTTTGTGAGATTGAGAATTTGAGATATTGGAGTTACGGGGTTTCATCTTTCAAGTATATGTAATAATATCCAGGCAAAAACAAAAAGTATATGTAATAATATCATATATAGTACCTTGGCCAAAAAAAAAAATCATATATGGTACAATTAAAAATCTGCGGTGAGTGAAATAGTACAAGCAACTATGAAACTCAGCCCAAGCAGCTATCAATTTGGTGTCCTTGACAGACGCAACAAGCACTATGCACGAAGGAAGTTTGATGATGGGGAAAGGGAATATTGATGGAAATGAGAATAGGAATGGAGTTTTACGGGGTGTTTAAATAAATCTAAATTATAGTTTAGAGAATAACTTTTAAAAAAATTATTTTTAAAAATATATTTTAGGAAAATAAATTTTATAAAAAAATAATTTTAATAAAATAAAAGTGTTTGGGTAGTTGTTATCGAAAACATTTTTTTCATATACAAATTACTAAACAAAAATATAAGTTAATATGATAATTATATAAAGATAAATTTTAATTTATATTTTTATTTGAAGTAATAATTTTGTTAATAATATATTTTTCCAACATAATAATTAATATATAAAAATATAATTAATTAATAATTAATAGGTATATATATTTGTAAAATATAAGATTAAATATGTTTTTAGAAAAATGATTTTTTTGCCAACAGAAAAATTTTATTTTTACTTTAAAGATTTTAAACATGAAATCTCATAATATTTTTTAAAAAAAAACTGATTAAACATATATGAAAAAAATTTATTAATTATATAACTAATTAATAATTGGCGTGTGTGTATAAAGTAGAAGATTGATCAAGTGTATGTCATAATAACTGTCAGGTTGCAACTATATACAACATATGTAAAGCTAGTTTTTTTTTTTAAACAACATATGACCTCCAATATTTAATATAAAAATTAGTTTGATATTTAATTTGATCATAAATATAAGATCAAATTCATCTTGTTTCTAATATTTATTCATTTTTTTCAAAGTAGTCCCTGTAATAATTACACATGTTAAATGTTTCATCAAACGGTACTTCTAACTAATATACATGATTAGTAATGGTATTTTAAGGACAACAACACCTATTTATTACAAATAATTAATTTAACTAATTTTCTTAATTTACTCGAATTAGTTAACTAATTCTTATATTAAGCACTAAAAGTATCAGTACAATGGATGGGGAAAAAAGGACCACCTTTAACCCTCCAAGAAGCAATTTTTTTTTTTTTTTTTACTTTTCATGAAACCATAGTTAGGTGGGCTAAACTATGGTTTTGAAGTGAAACCATGATTTTATAAAAATATGGGATGTTTGGCAACTTTTTAAGCCAAATGTGTTTGGCTCAAAAGATAGAAGGGGAGGAATGAGATTTTAATAGAAGGAAAAGAAAGAAAAGGGAGACAAGATATTTTAATATTATTTTGTTTGGATTAATGATGGCAAATGGGGGAGGAGGGATTTTTTATTATTTGATATATGATCTGATAAGAGTGTAGTAGTTACCATCTATTTCCCATGTGATGTAAGATCAAAAAGGTAGTATGGGGATATTAAAAACTAATTATTGACATATAAGTCAAAATAAACTAAAATATTATCATTTTCTTCCAAGTCCCCCGAATTTGGAAGGGGGGTTATGAGGGGAGAGGAGGAAAACTCTTAAAATTTTTTTCTTACTCTCCTAAAAATTTAAGCAACCCAAACCAGGGGAGGAGAACAAAATCTCTCCTACTGTTCCCCTCCCTTCCTTTTCCTTCATACCAAACAAGCCCTTAGTAATTTAAATGGAATGCTTGTGATGGAAATATTAAAATGTCATTAGTTAGTTAATGACTCATGGGCTCTATAAATAAGGGTCTTAGTAGGTGATTAGATGTGTGTTAGGATGTGAGTTCTTTTACCAGGAGGGATGTTAACTTGGGTCTCTTTCATGAGTCCCCAAAAATTTTTGGGTTGTTTAATTAAGATTCCCTAAAAATGATTGATCATAGGGGCGTTTAACTACATCCAGTCCCAATTTCAATCATTTCCACACAAGACATTCACATTTACAAAATTTTTGGGATGGGATGAGACACAGGATGAAAGTTCCTGATATATCATCTTTTTTTAAAAAAAATTATAAATTTATTTCATTTCTCAATTGTTATTTTAGTTTTGTTTGCCAAATTTTAATTATTGCCAATTATTTTGACCAATTTTTATCCATTTTATTTATTTCTTCTACGGTTCTTATCATGAGTTCTTATGCTTGAGGTATAGTTAGTCTTTAAATAAAAAAAATTTAATAGATGGGACGTCAAAAGTGATGACATTGAATTGGAACGAAACGAAACACGAGAAGATTTGCCCTTGCGATTTCTCTAGCCACAAGGAGGGAGAACACTTGATCTCCATCGAGCTTATTAGACCTAGACGTTATCAACCTTTCCTCCAAATCCAACTTGAAGAAGGATTTATGGTGGTTGTATTTACATTTAATACGATCCACATGTAGGGTTTTTAAGCATGCGCATACTTTTTGAGAGTGATGTGTTGATATGTTCTCATAATCTTATTATCAAAATCATGGATTTAGTAACTCATATATCACAAAGAAAAATGTTTTGCAGAATCACATTAAACATTCATTATTTTGTTCAATTCCTTTTCTTGTTGATAGTGAATAGAGAGCATAAGGAGAGGACGATGTTGCTCTTCATAAAAAGAACCAATTATCAATAATCCTAGGTTATGCGTGTGTATGAATCAAGTAAATTCACAGTACCATTATTATCAAAAGTAAACTTTCTCTTATTGCTCATGAATGCCAAGAAACACTCTATATTGCCTTCACATAGCCTTTGCAATGGGCACTCCACTCTTTAGTGGGAGGATTGTTTCCTTTCTAATATAATTAATGGATGTGAAACTGACAAATGAACTCAAACTTGTTGCTTTGATGAGGTGCGCATCCCACTCACCATTGCCTTTCTGTTCACCATTGAAAGCATCACCTGCTGCCAATTTCTGTGTTTATATTCCTTTTGCCTCAGCCTGCTTTGTGTTGTGTTGTTGTTGTTATTATTATTATTATTGCCAACGGTTGTGTTTATTATTTAATTTCATTATTTCCCCCCCAAGAAAATGACAGACCTGTCAAAGCTATCTCTTTCTCTCTTCATATTACGACCAACTTATATATATAGAGAGTATTATTAAACTTTTAAAAAAAAATTAAATTGAGCTTTCTATACCAATTGTAAATATAAATTAAACCCTACAAAGAGTTAGTATCATTTTTAAAAAATAAAATGAAATATTCTTTGACTTACACAGGCCAATTATAGTTATAACTGATAAAGAAAGTATTATCTATAATGATTACATATGAAACCAATATTAATTCTATCTTCCAAACAGCTTATACCGTCTCCTATTATGACCGCGCTAAAAGCCTCGTTGTAGAAATCTTTTTCAAACTAATGTGAAACAGGATGAACAGTAAGCCGGAAGTTACGATTTGCGTGAATGGTATAACTGAGAA